TGGGGTGGGGGGTGATTTCTCGCTTTCTGTCTCTATGTCTCTGTCTGTCTGGCGAGCGCATGCACCCTATAGCGAAAATCTCTCCAAAAAAAAAAAAAAAACCCTGCTCCCAGGTGGGCAGAATGTCTGTGCCCTCCCTTTCTCACACTCAGCCCCTGCTCCCAGGGGTTATGATGTGGGGCAGCTCCCCCATATGGGCCTCAGGATGAGGCAGCTTGGCCTGGGGATGGGGTGCTCTGTGTCCCAGAGCCCACCCTCTTGAGGGGGCGGTGGGTTTCTTATCTACCTGAGGGCTTTCCTGTCTCTTGTGAGCCGAGTAGGAATAATGCCTTTCTCTGTAAGGACACAGGGCTGCTGCTCCTCAGTCTAAGGAGCCCCTGGAGGAATGGGCCCAGCAGCTTCATCTTTGGGGTGCACATCCGCCCCACCAAATGGAGTGAAATGCCTGACAGAGCCCTCTGTGCATTCAGGAACCCAGGTCTTGTGGGCCCCTTGCTCCCCTCCAGTACACGCTCCTGCCGTTTCCTCTGACGCTCTCATCCCCCCTCAGAAGGCCTTGTTGGGGACTGGCAGCGCTGGGTTACAGTCACACATTCTGTGGACTCAGTAGGACACAAACAGGAGTTTCACAGGGTCAGGCTTTATTGGACACATGGCAGGCCGAACTGGGCCCCAGGGCCCTGGGTCCTCTTCAGCCAGGAGAGAGCAGACTCCACAACGGGTTCCCCGGGTTCAGGGCAGGAGAGCACACCTGGCCTCCTGCCAGCCAGCCCTTCAGGGTGTCTCGAGGACTCCCTGAGATCTGCGACCTGGCGGGGAGGGTGGGGTTGGAAGGGGGTGCTCCAGAGAGCTTCCGTGGCTCTGGAACTAGGATGGCGACTTTTGGGGAGTAGGCTTTGGAGAAGCAGACCTCCTTGGAACAGGGGAAGGCCTGGGCTTCGGAGAGGCAGTGGCCTGTTTTTGAGCGTGATGGGGAGGCCTGGAACCCCTGGTGGAGTTTGGTGACCGATTTGGGCCTGCAGATCTGAGGCTGCCCGCCTGGGTTCGTGTGCCTGGGGCTGCACCTGCCCATGCCTGAGCCGCTGGGGCTTGAGCTGCTGAGGCTCGAGATGCCTGCACTTGACACCCACGGGCCTGAGAGGCCTTGCCCTGAGGCCCTACTTCCTCCGGCGTTCTTTCTGACAACAGATGCAAGGCCCTGGCCTGGCCCCGTGGCAGGCGGAGGCCGAAACCGATGCCTATGCGGAGTGGTCCAGACTCTTGGCCCTGCACACAGGGCAGTAGTTGGGGGAAGGCAAGCAGCCTGGGTCCAGTCCTGTACCTGGGGATGGGGCAGGAGGGGCTGCGGGGCCGAAGACACACCAGGCATATGGGATACTCCACCACGGGGGCCTGGCCGGACCGGCCTAGCCACAGGCGCTGCAAAAGCAGGAGCCGCAGGACGTGGGCGATGCGGCGGTGCCCCAGGTGGACCACCAGGGCCTTGGCCAAGGCCCCCGGGTCCCTGAACTCTGCAGGGTCCCTCTTGCTTGCCACGCACCCGCCCGCCACCCCAGGGGACCCGGTGTCCCTGTACTGATGCCAGGGCCATGACTGCCTATCAGAGTGGACCCCAGGAGAAGGTAGGCTGCGGCTTGGGGAGGTGAGCGAGGGGCTAGGTATGTCGGGGCGAGCAGCTGACGGGCAACGAGGGTGGGGAACAGAGTTCTGTGGCTGTGTGGGTGAGGAGAAGGGTGTGAGAGGAGGAGAGGGATAGAGCTGGTGGTTGGAGGGAGAGGAGGGGGGAGACAGGTGGGTCTGGTGAAAGAACGATGGAGAACTTGGGAGAGAGGAGGAGTAGGGAGGTGGCACGAACTCGGAATTTGAGTCAGAAGAGTAGAAATGGAAGCCGGGAGAGTGGGACTGGGGGGGAGGGGACAAGAAGTGCTGGGATTGAGGGGTTGAGGAGAAAGGTGGGCGAGAGGAAGAGAGTGACTGCTGGAGAGAGGGAGGCTGTAGGTTGGAGGGAGGGGGGTCCACAAGTTGCAGTTTCGGGAAGCCTTGAGGGGAGCACCCAGGGGCCACTGCGTTCTGTAGTGGCACCTGGTCCTTGTTTTGAGGCAACATTGCCTTGGAGAGACTAGGGAGGCGAGACCAGGGATTAGAGACCTAGTGGAGTCAGGACCAGTATCTCTGAGGCCAGCTGTGGTTGAGAGAGCAAGACTGTGGTGGTGTGGATATGGGAGGCCGGCCAAGAAGACACCCAGTCCTCTAGCACCAGGCTCTCTAGGGGCTCAGGGTGCTGGGGTCTAAGCTCGTCTTCACACGTCTTTGCAGTCAGCCATCGATGAGGTCGGCGTGGGGATGGAGAATCGGAGCAGTCTCCTGGGAGCTGAGGGGCTGCAGCGGTGATCTGGGTAGGACATGAGGAAGATACAGCCTGTAGACCCTGGAGAGAGAGACAGAGACAGTCCAAGATGTTGGGAGAATTGGGGCATTTCTGGCTCTGCCTCATGTACCAACCAGTCCAGCAAGACCCTAAATCCATGGCACCTTTGGGAGCCAGATGCTCCGGGGAAGATGAGAAGTGGGGAAGAGAAATGGGGGCAGAGGGACAATGTAGTTGGAGGGGGGCCCAGGGAGCTGGAAGCTGGGATGGAAACGGGAATTGAGGGTGTCCTGGTACTGGGAGCTCTTACCAGTAGGATTCTTCCTTAGGTTTCCCAAGGCACTTCCGTGATGAGGATACCTGGAGAGAGAGAAGCAGTCACCAAACAGTGGCTACATCTCCTCTGCCCCCACGTCTGTCACCTGAAACCCACCGTGGCCCAGATTTCTGTCTTGCCCTCAATCTGCCTTCACCAGGCCAAGGTCTTCTGTATTCCAGGCTTTTGTTCCCCTAATCCTGACTCAGCAGCTCTGCAAGCATCCTGGTGCCCTAACACTCTGGTTCCCCTGACTCCTCGTGGCCCCTAAGTCCCTAATGCTAACGATGTCCTCTGGTCAGCCTGGCCCTAGCTGAGATGGCTTATCACGCCCAGCAGCGGCAGCAGCAGTGACAGCAGTGGGGGCCGGCGGTATAAGCCTGTGGGAGGCTGGACTTTGTTAAGGGGCGGCGTTGCCGCCCCCAAGGGGAGCTGGGGGTCCCGTTCCCTGGTAACAGTTCCCCCAGCATCAAGGGCCTGTATCACAAAGGTCAAGTGCTGACATCATAGAATCTCCTCCTCAAGGCTCTTGATCCTTCCGTCAGAGGTCATCCAAACACTGACCCTTGGCAAACTGAAGCAGGCGAAATTGTTTGGTGCGCTTCCTTTCCCCTCCAGGCCTGACTCTCCATCCCGGCTCTCTCTCTCTCTGCCCGTCTCCCACTGCTTCCTCCACCCTTGTTTTCTAAATCCATGGAGCCTATCTGGGCTGAGCCCACCAACTTCCCGTTCCCTTCAGTTCCCTTTTTTTTTTTTTTAGTTTCTTGTTTGTTTGTTTGCCGTAAGGCTCAAGCACTCACCAGAGAGAGACAGAGGGAGAGAAAGTGAGAAATCTTCCCCCACTCCCAGGAGGGGTTGGCCATACCACAATCCCCTCTCCTCCATTCTCCTCTCAGGATTTTGGGCATGCATGCATATGTGCCCAGTGTGAGTTTCAAGCCACTGGGTCTGGGACTCAAACCACAGTCAGCCATGTGACAGTCCAGCACTCTAATCACCGTGCCGCCTGCTGTCCCCTCTTTTACTTTCTAAGAAGTGAGTGTACTTATTATGTGTTTTAATAACTATTTTTTTTCTTTAAAGAATTCTTTTATTTAACTTTATTTAATTTTTAATTTGACCCAAGAGGTACAGAGTAAGAGCGAGAGAGAGGGAAAGTGAGAAAGCAAGCCACCAGGTCCAGGACTCAAACTTTGGTCAGCCATGTGGGAGTACAACGCCCTTACCCACCACACCATCTGCCGCCCCAATAACTATTTTCTTAACAGCTTTTTTGGGATATAATTTACATACTGAATAATCCATCAATTCAAAGTATACAATTCAAGTGTTCTGCATAGTCACAGAGCTGTGCAACCATTTCCACAATCTTATTTTAGAACATGAAAAATCTTTTTTTTAGGGAACCAGCAGTTAGCGTAATGGCTATGTTGCTGGACTCCCACGTAGTCGACCGCGGTTCGTGTCCCGGACCCGGTGGCTTAAAACTCACGCCGGGCGCGTGTGCATGCGTGCCCAAGATCCCAAGAGGAGAATGGAGGAGAAGGGATTATGGCGTGACCATCCCCCCTGGGGGGTGATTTCTCGCTTTCTGTCTCTATGTCTCTCTCTGTCTGTCTGGCGAGCGCACGCGCCCTACAGTGAAAATCTCTCAAAAAAAAAATCTTTTTTTTAGAGAGAAAAAAAAAATCTTTTTTTTAGAGAGTTGTATTTTTGTTGTTGTTGTTGTTGTTGTTGTTGTTTTGTTTTTTTGTTTTGGCTATAGGGTGCATGCACTCGCCAGAAAGATAGAGAGAGACAGGGAGACAGAAAGCGAGAAATCACCCCCCACACCCTATAGTAAAAACCTCTCCAAAAAAAACAAAATCATGAATAATGCTTCCGTGAACATTCTTGTACAAGTTTTATATAGATGTATGTTTCCATTTATCTTGAATAGATGCCTAGGAGTAGAATTTCTTCGTAACATGTGAATCTATATTTAACATTTTGAAAAGTTACCAAACTGTCTTCCAAATGGCTGTACCTTTTTTCAATCCTACCAGCAGGTGTAAGGATTCCAGTTTTTCCTTCTATTCCTCAACATGTATCATTTTCTACCTTTTTTATTATAGCAACCCAAGTGAAAAGGTATAATATTGTGGTTTCGATATGTTTTTCTTAGGCAATAGGGCATGTGTGCTTGGCGGAGAGAAAAAAAAGTGAGAGAACACCCTCGGGGCTGGCCACACACAGTTCCTTCTTCCCCATTCCCTTCTCAAGATGTTGAGTATGTGCACATGCACTCCCGGCATGCTCTCAAGTCACAGAATCTGGGACTGAACCTCACAGTCAGCCATGTGGGATCCAGCTGTTCCAACCACCAGGCCACCAGTTGGCCCAATTTACTTTTATTTATTTATTTTTTTAGGTTTTTGTCATCGGTTTTTGTGAACTTGCTGGGGAGAGAGAGACAGAGAGAGAGAAAGTGAAAAATCATCCCCTAGAAGGGATGGCCACACTGCAGTCCGCTCTCCCCCATTCACCTCCTGGGATTTTTGGGTACTCACACACTCCCTACCAGTGTGATTTTTAAGCCACTACGTCCAAGACTTGAACCATGGTTGGCCGTGTGGGAATCCAACACCTTAACGACCCCACCATCTGTTGGTCCTTATATTTTTCTGAGACTGATGATGTTGATCATCTTTTCATGTGCTTATGGGCTATTTGTTGATCTCCTTTGGAGAAGTGTCTACTTAAATTTTTGGCCCATGTTTGAATTTTTTTTATCTTCTTATTATTAAATTATAATTGTTCTTATATGTTCTGGACACAAGTCCTTTATTAGCTATATTTACAAACATTTTCTTCAATTCTGTGTGTAATCTTTTCTTTGTTTTCTTTTCTTTTCTTTTCTTTTCTTTTCTTTTCTTTT